TTGTCTGTCCATTCAAACTAATTTTGCTTTTTCAATACTGAAAATAACTTAAAGCACTTCTCTGATGACTTGGATATAAACCTTCCTAGAGCGGCTACCTGTTAACCTCTAGACTTCTTTCTTGCTCGTGAGTACATCAGGTATCTCCTAAATAATTTTGACCTGTGCAGGATTTACTTCAATACCCATATAAAAACAAGAAAACCCGAAAATTTACCTGAAGCTACGCCGAAAACACACTTTTCCAAATTCAACTTTATGTTGTATTTGCGGAGAATTTCAAAGGTCTCAGCTAAATGATGAAAATGACCCCCTGCCTGTGTTGACTTGACCAACATATCATCTATGTAGACCTCCATAGTTTTTTCCAAGTGTTCTTAAAATATTTCGGTCATCAATCTTTGATACGTGGCTCCAATATTTTTCAAGCCAAATGGCATGACTTTAAAGCAATAAGTCCTCCTGTCTGTGATAAATGAGGTTTTTTCCTCATCTAAAGGGTCCATTTTTATCTGATTATAACCAGATTAAGCCTCTAAACAATTTAAAAGCTAATGACCTGCAGTAGAATCAATTAATTGGTCTATGTGTGGTATAGGAAATGAATCTTTAGGACAAGCCTTATTTAAATTGGTATAATCTACACAGACTCGCCATTTTTCATTTATTTTTGGAACCACAAAAGTATTAGCTAACCAGTCAGGGTACTTTACCTCTCGTATTAACCAATTTTCAGCAGTTTTTGTACCTCATCCTAGATCACTTCATTTTTAAAGGCCCCTTGCTTCATTTTCTTCTGCTTGATAGGTGGATGTAATGGATCCTCGTTTAGCTTATGAGTCATCACCTCCAGTGATATATCTGTCATATGTGAATGCGACCAAGTAAAGCCATCTGCATTAGCACGTAAAAATTCGATTATCTTACCTTTCATTTCTAGGCTCAAATTTGCTTCGAGGTAAACTTTTCTATGTGGCCAGTGGACAAAAAATATCATGGCTTCGAGCTCCTCCGTGGTTGTTTTGATGTTCTCATTTTCCTCTAGCTCTTGAATCACACAAGTCATGAATCTACATCAGTCTGACCTTGTGTGCTTTCAGTTGAGGTATAGATACAAGCGTCCCCAACTGAATTCTTTAATTGCTATTTAGCGTCTACATCGTTGGCTATTGTATTTGCAATCACCACTGAATTAATACTCTGTGAGGCTCGTTGATCTCCCCGAATTTGTCGGATCCCCCACTGTGATGGGAATTTGATAACTTGATGCAACCTGGATTGGACATCATCCATATCATGAATCCACGACCTACCCAAGATTATATTATAGGCCATGTCCGTGTCCATTACCTGGAACTTTGTGTCTTTAATGACTCCTTCTGCAAAATGTAGCCAGCACAACTTTTCCTTTCGTAACAACGCTTGAATTATCAAACCCAGATAATGACCAGGCTTTTGGTATGATCTTATTACTAGCTTGCATTTTATTTACCACTCTTAGTAAAATGATAATCACTGAGCTACCTGGGTCAACCAAAACTCGTTTAGCGTTAGTATCATATACAAGTAAATATATTACCAGTGCGTTGTTGTGAGGAATCATCAAGCCATCCATGTCTTTATCATCAAACACTATATTGTCACCTTCCAAGACTTGGAAAACTCATTTCCCGTGAGTGACAGTGACCTTTGATGTCTTTTTTGCATCCGTGTACGTTACCCCATTAACTTCATCTCCTCCAGTTATGATGTTTATCGTTCTCTTTAGTGATGGAGGCTTTAGGGGTTCTTGTCCATTTTTCATGTATGATTGTTTTCCTTTCTCACTGAATAGATCAGTAAGATAACCTTGCATCAGTAGATATTCAACTTCCCATTGCAAAAGCCTACAATCGGTTGTTCTATGACCATGATCATTGTGAAGCTCGCACCAGAAATCTGGGTTCCTTTTTTTTGGATCCGATCTTATCTCTTTTTGCCATCGCACCTTGTCTCCCATTCCTCTTAGAACAACAACCAATTCAGAGGTGCTGGCGTTAAAGCTATAATATCCTATTCTTGCTTGAGTACTATAATCGTTGCTCCTGGCATCTCGCTCTTTTTTTTAATTGAGAAGAAGAACTTGCCTCTTTGTTCCTTGATCTTGATCAAAACATGCATTCTTTTGTTTAGGTTGGGAATCTTGCCCTGCATGTCCCATGCAAGGCTCGTACATGTTCTTACCAGACCTTCTCTCTGATTTCGAGCATCTTGACCGTGGCCTTTCATCTGCTCTTGCCTCTGTAACCGTATCTTGTTCTATCCACAATTTTGTGTTGTATCAATCGTACACATCGTTCCAAGTTATTGCAGAAAACTCCCGCAAAATTTCTTTTAACCTTCTCTTGGCTTTTGAACTTTTCTCGTTCAAATTGCTTGTGAATGCCATCAACGAATCTATCACGTTGGAATCTATCAACGGATTCTCTGAGCAATTCTATACTCCCATGTTTAACTTTGAAGATATTCTCCATCCTTCTTTCAACTTTCTGAGCCCCCGAATGCGCCTTTATAAATGAATCTGCAAGCTCAGCAAAAGAATCAATGGAGTTTTCAGGTAAGAGTGAGTACCATGTTAATGCCTCTTTTGTGAGAGTTCCGCCAATTTTTTTTAACTAAAATCGATTCAATCTCCTGCTTGGTTAAATCATTGCCTTTTATGCCTGCAATGAACGTGGTGACGTGATCCCGTGGGTCGGATATCCCATCATATTTAGGGAAATCCGACATTTTAAACTTTTGGGGAATTAACAAAGGTGCTGCACTTGGCTTCTAGAGTTACTGTGAATATTTGTCAATATCCACACCTTTGATCAAAGGAGGCATGCCATGTATTTGTTCTATATGCTCATTTTACTCCTTCAACTGTTTCTGCAAAGTTAGTACTAAGCTTTGTAAACTAGAATTATTCGGTGTACCTGATCCTCCATCGCGAGATTCATTCGACATTTCTCCACTTCCAGAGTTATCAAGTCCCGGACGTGGATTTTCCAAGGTGGTATTAACTGGTGGTGGAGTTTGTGCTGCATTGGGTAATTCACTAGCAAAACTTCGTAGTACTTCGTTCACGTGTTGTGCAATCAACTGCTTCAAAGCATCTTGCTCAACGGTTTGGTCAATCCCCTGTTGTCCTTCAGTGCGAGAAGCGGGCCTTTCAGGTGAACTTTCTGGTGAATGCTGAGGAGTAGCTGTGGGTTGTGATGTGGTGGAGTTCCACCTTGTTGATTCAGCTGGTTGTTCTCGTTAGCAGTGGACATATTTTGTTGCTAAAAATGAAATTTGGAAAGTGAATATATTATCAGATTCCCAGCAATGGAACCAATTCGCTTAACCCAAAAATAGATCTCTCTATCTAAGTTAATATCAAAAAGAAATCGGTTAGTGATAACCGAAATTACTTCACTTTTTTAGTAATTCAAATAATAACAAGAATAAAGGGAGTAATAGGTAAGGTTTGAAATCTTAAAGTGGATAGCTAATTTCTCCCAGAATTGCGGTTTGAACACTTTGATTAAAGTAAAAGACTAATTGTATATACTGATAAAAATTTCAATACCTTTACAAATGAGGATTAGGTCCTTATATAAGGGTACATAATTATAAAGGTGTCCCTATATAATTCTGGCTTGTTAATGGCATTAATTGTCTTAATTGTCCGTTACCATATATAATTGTAATGGTGATATTAATGACTGAGGATTTTCTGTAATCACGGTCAATGTCGATTTTCCTTCCTTATTTATAACAGATTCCTGAACCTTCCTCGTACCTATTTCTTCTTTTCTAGCTTTCAGGACGGGTACCTTTTTTGATGGAACATCAGGGGTATTCTCCTCGTGCTTTTTTTATTTTTTTTTTTTAATTGAATTTGTCACTTGTTATTTTGTTGATGGTCCACGTGTCATTCCTTTTTTCCACCGATATTGGAGCTAGATATAGGACTTCGTTCCTAAAAAGTTCTCCAAATTACCTTTGCCCTTGTCTCTTAAAGCTAGGATATCCCACCTGTTCCTGAATCGGCACCCTGGTGAATACAAATCATAGTTTGCATGAACTCAATTTGTTGCTTAGTATTGTATCGATTTTAGTCTTCCCAAATTCCTTTCATTTATGATAAGGACTTAATTTCTCTTTCATCCATGATATAAACCCGAGTAATTAACTTCTCTTTTCCCTCTTACCCTTTAACTGTCTTATGAATTTCCACAGAAAAAGACCAACGAAGGGAGGCTTGAAGTTCGGTGTCCAGAAAATTAAAGCTGTTCTGGTCATGTTTTTCCGGCGAATCAAATGAAATACTCTATTGAATTTTTTATCTTTTTGATGAAAAGTTATCGAAACACTAATTTATTATCTCCATTAATGCGGTGAATGCTAGAAGAAGAAAAAATATAGGAAGGTGCATCTTTGGACTAATAATTGACACAAAACATTGTAGTTCGTGAGAATAAAAAGCTCTTGTAGTTGAGGTGTGCAAAATGCAAATTGAGCAAATTCAAGAAAGTTTTTGTAGTATAGATTAACCTTTTAAGAATGATTGGATACTTGGATGTAATTATCGAGATGTAAATTTTTAGAGAAAAGAACTTTTTGACTTTTGGATTTAATTCCGCCTATCAAATTTTGACTTTGAAATCTCTGATCCTTAAATACTTCTTTGGTTCCACTTGATGTAACATAGTTGGGAGAGGTTAAATTCACTAATTTTCAATATGAATTTGGATATAAAAATTTTACAATATTTTTTTATAATAAAATTCATATTCTTAAAAATTATATAAAAAGTCACAATAATTTTTTAATTTAAAAGTATTTGTAGAAACCTGATAAAAAAATTGCTTAACTTTTCAATTTAATAATCGTGTAACTAAAAACAAAACATTGTCGTAATAAAATATGGAACTATGAAAATGGTTGTAACACGTGAAGTCATGACGAGTCTTTTTGTGTTGGTTGGGGCCATCCTATATTGCAACGGCTACTTTTTCATCTTACAACCAAAGGGTATACTGGTCGGTCAAAACTCAAAACTACTTTCTCATATGAAAGTATGGGCGGTCCAATGGTGATGGTGATTGAATATTTAGAGTCGTCAATGTCCAAACGTCTTCTCTGCAAATTCCCCGACAACTCCGCTTACGATTTCGACTATTCCCAGAGCTCCATTTGGTCCCCTTTGGTTCCTCCTCCTCTGTCATCTTCCAACGACCGTACTCTCAGTTTGGGTCTTTCCAGAAAGTTGTCGTACGAGGAAGAAGCAGCCGCCAGCGGCGGAGTCATCGGCTGTATCAAGAGGAAGTTCTCTAATGTTTTGTTTGATAATCTGAAAATACACCACAAGTTGAAGAAAAGAAAAAGGAAGGGCTTTGATTTTTCTCCTGTCCCATCTTCTTCTAAGCTTGCCACCACTACTACAACGCCAAGAAAGGTAACATATTATATATTTGTTGAGTTATATCGGAATTTTTTTTAATTGGGTATCAAAAGGACATGTGCTCATAAAGATCTTTTCATTCCAAAAGCAAAAATAGGGGTATTTGCTTGCAAACAACACAATGATAGCAATCACTCAACATAGATTGATCCGAATTTGACTCAAATTCAATACATAAGAAATGTACTTCATTGATTCTTCCTAATGAATAGATTTGATTGCAACTACACAAATGGAATCAAAGGGATTAAACGGAAAAGAATAGTATGAATCATATAACTTTAAGAACAACCAATTTTTATAATTTAAAATAGAGTCAGAAAAAATGGTTTAAGCCAGTTATATTTATGTCGCTGATCTTATTGCTTTAAGGTTTTAGATTGGATGTTCATATTCTTTGACAATAAATAGTTGAAATAAATAAGTGTGATCTCATTGCTACAAAGAAATAATGCGTCTAATGAACTGAATTGCATAGTCAATAAGAGTAGCAATGAATCAGTGCGATTCCTGCAGTATCCTCTTTTCCAATTTGTAAATTCTCATGTCTAGTTAATTTACAATACATTAATTCGTGCAGGGATGGGCTAAGGTGCTGAAAGCAGCTTCAAAACATTTCAAGAAGAAGAGCAAAAAGAAAGATTCCATAGGTCGTCTTAATCTTTCCAACTGTTTAACTGAGAATAGTCTTTCGCGCAGTTCTGCATATCCATAGTGTGTGTAAGTTTTACCCTTTGATGTCCTCTGTAATCAGCAGATATATATATATTGCTGAGGAGGGCATCTTTTGACGTGCTTCACGAGTTTTTATGCTGTCTTAACTTGTACTTTGATTAATCCATGCGATGGCAATTTACCATTGTTGGTAGCAAAATTGATAAATTAGCTTTACAAGCAGTCTAATTTGTTAAGCGCTGCCCAACAGTTTGAGAATATTTGATACTGGATTTGAGAAGAAAAAAAAAATAGAAAATAGATTGGATTCGAATTTTAGTGGTTCCAACTCTTCTTTGCACCCAAGTGGTGCAGTACTTTTCCTCTTCTTGTTCTAATTGGCCCATTCCTCCCTTCGAAAAAAGAAAAAAGGAAAAGAAAACATTGAGAGAAGACAACAGGAAACATTGCTTAAGCACTCACCCCCTTACAAAAGAAAAAAAATACATCAATCAATGCGTAGCAACTTTTTTAGACTTCAACATATGGATGGAGTCAGGATGTGTTTCACCTGAGGGTTAACATAATAGGCAATGGAGTATTGTGAATGGGGCTCTAACACAGTATCTATCTCGTACAAATTTTGAACTTCTTGACTATGATTTGGTGGTCTATGACGAAGAGAAGTGAGATTTTGAAAAATTCATTCAAGAGATGAACCATTCCATTTCTTGATTCCCTCAATTGGATATTTCGAACAAAATGTTGCAAGACTGGGATTAGACTAACAATTGGACTACATTTTTCCCATAGTAGCTCAGGAATGAGCAAACAACAATAATAACACCTCAATCTCAGACAAAGTTGGGATAAACGATATTAATCCTACTAACGGAATGAGCATAAGAAAGGAAATCCTACCAAAGCCTCAAGGGCGATTCTTCAAACTTGTAGTTGCAGGATTAAGAACTTATAAGTCCGTTTGTTCAGGCAATTTTGGATTAGTTGTAAGACCTAACTTTTGTGGGGGGTCATAATCATATACGCATTACGCTTATTAATTTGTCTTCTCATTTTGAAAATAATTAACATTTTGTTTAAGTTTATTACTTAGACTAATTTTTATGAGATGTCATTTTCGACTTTCATGTGTCATGCTCCTGGGAGTAACAACGACATCTTCACTGCTTCACAAGTTGACATAAAGATAATTAAATTATTTACTAACATAAGGTTAAGTGATTAAATTGTAATGGCATCTATAACGTCTGATTTCATTAAAGTAGTAACCCGACCCCATAAAGGAGTAATTACTTTGATGAGATTAATTAATAAGAAAATAAAACTTTCAGTTTGAAGATTATCTTATGCCAGCAGGTATAGATTATTTTCTAGTTTTATTTTTGTTTACTTATAAATTTAAAGAAATGTTTTGCATGGTTTGCCTCTACCCACAAGAAGGTCTAGAATTTACTTGATATTGATATTTAAGCGGTTCACTTTGATGGTTTGTATTTTATAGCTTATGTATGTGCATCATGTTTTGCAGCTTTCACAACTTTTTCTAATGCTATTTTCAATGAAAATGCTTGCGTTCTAAGAACATCTCCAAGGCTGCACCATTTCTTGCACCAAATCCAAATTTGGTGCAAGAAATGGTGTTTTCTTGCTCCAATGCAACACTAATCCTTGCACTATTATAGAGCACGAATAGTGTTGTAACAAATTTGGTGCAACACTATTCATCACTTCAAATTTGGTTTATTAATATTTTATTCAAGCTTTTTAGTTTTTGGACTTTTAATTTACCATATATTGTGTATATAATTAATTTTTATATTAAGATCTTTATAATTTTAATTTTATATCCTATTTATTGATATATTAATTTTTGTATGTATTATATTTATATAAAATTGTAAGTTAATTTTATTATTATTATAATTGTATAAAAAGAAATATAACCATTATTTAAAAATAAAAAATGCAAATGTAAGATATCTAATGTTGCTAAAATTGAAAAGTGAAAACTAAAATTTAATATGTGGTACTTAAATTAAATTTGACTATGATGTAATATTTATTTAATTATCTTTTATCAATGATTTCACTTTTAGTTGATTTATCCTTTAAAATAATTTTGTAATATATGATTATATAAGTGGTGAATGTGAATTATATATAATGAATATGGAAAAAAGAAAAAAGATAGTATTAGTTTGAAGGAAATAGAAAATGAAAAGTAAATAGAAGATAATAATATAATATAGAAGAGAGAGAAGATTTGGTGTAAAAAATAGCGTAATGGTTGGAGTAAATTTGATGTTACACCATTTTGATGTGAAATTTGGTGTGAAATTTGGTGTTAGGATCGGAGATGGCGTAAGTACTCCGCAAAATAGTTGAACTTAAACTAGCCAGGACAACACTGACATAAAAAAAAAATATTAACCAAAAAACAAAATATATATTCTAGTAAGACCTGTTGTCTCCAATGAGAAAGTGAGGCTCTAAGCAAAGAACCAAAGACAGAAGGGTCCAAGGGCTCATTAGTCATTTCCACAGTCACCCCACCATGTGCATCCTCTTTTGCAGCTAATATTCCATCAACTTCTACTTCCATTTCCTTCTCCCTTGCCATTGCTGGTGTTGCAGAGCAACTCATTGAGGACATTGTATGTAAGTAAAATGGTCTTTTAAAGAAGCCTAAAACAATGAGAAAACTAGTTAAACTTAGGCAAGATTTAAAATATAACAAAAATGGTGTTTTCAATATAGAACAAGGGTCACCTTCATTTTTGCAGATAGTGAGTGTTGCATTACGGCTGGAGAAGAAGTGACGTTTTGAGCTAAAAAATATTGAAGATCTTGGAGTGGTGGCATAGGAAAGAAAAGGAATGCGACACAAAAATTTGATTATCATTTAAACAGTATTTTTGGAGGCAGAATGAAAGAGCTTGTGGATCTTGGAAGTTGATGTGGAATAGTGGTTGGTACCAAACTCTTCAAATGTCAAGCGTTGACTTATAATATGGGGTATTAGTTCATAGTTCCATTCATTTCCTAGTATAACGTGTTTACATTTAACTAAATAATTAACCTTAAAATAAAATTACATCTCACTTAATCATTATATGATTAAGTGTTAAAAATGTATATACAAAACATATTTATATATTTACAAACGTATAAGCGGGAATTTCTTTATTCTCAAGCCAAGTGAAATCTATTAACAAATGGAGAATATGATTTGTATAGTAAGTAGTGACCAATAAAAAATTAATTTTAAAGAAATAATTTATAATTTTATTAATTTGATATATGTATTAAAAGCGAGCAATTTTTTTTTCATATAAAGTTTTTTATTGCTGATCTTGCTTGATCGAAGTATCAGTTCTGTCTTATATTTTGTTGTTTATCTCACAAAATATATTTATTATTTATTAAGTGCATGATAATTTTTTTGAACTAACAACATCGAAAATGATATTGTGTTGTTTAGATAAACATTATCGATGTATTTTATCAATCGAATAAACTAGTATATTATAGCTTTTGCTTAGATTATACGTATAATAACTCTTACGCAATCTTGACATATCAACAAATCTATTTTATATTAAAAAGGCGACAAATCATCATATAAATTACTTATTATAAGTTGATGAAATGCTCTGCAAATATAACCAATTAATCTGCCAAGTTTTGGAGAACACTGTTCTATTGTTTACTGCTGCTGTCTCTTCTGGATCCCTAATTCAATTTTTGATTCTGTTTTTGCCATATGCAGGTACATACATGTGAAGATTTGAGGAAGAAAACTAAAGATATCTGTTGCATTATATGTCCCTTTTGTTCATTTTCCATTTGACTCATTGATTCAATCTCTTAACATGTTTAAAATAAAGCCATGCTATGAATAATGAGACTCATGTCAAAATGTAACTGGAATGGTATTCAATGCCTGTTGATTCCCGTTTGTTTTAATTCTTCAGTTTGTTTTTATTACTGTTAGAAGAGTTAGTAGATTATGTATTCCAAATGTGTTGGTAATTTTAGATTACACAAAATGTTTGTTAGTTACCAAATTAGAACAGTGAAGTTGAGGCATGAATCTAGTTATTATTTTGGATTGATTAATGTTAGTATTAAAAGGGCTGTTGATTATTGTTAAAAGCAAGAGGGTCATCTGTTGTGTTAAGGACTCGATGTCGAGTCCAGGCCCTTAGCCGCGCCCTTCCAGGTTTTATGCCCATTGGGTTTTGAGGCTTGAAGTCATTTGCAAGGACACTTCGTTTGGTTGGGCTGGTCTTTAGGGCCCAGCAACTCATCCGTTTAATTGTTGGGCCATTGTGAGATTGGGTTGGATCCGCAATGCATGATATAAAAAGAGTTAGATTTCTTTGTGTGCTTAATGTTTTCAAATCCAAGTTATGAATTGGGCTTACTTTGAGCCAAAAGCTGAAAGGCACTTCTCGAAGGGGGTTTTGTTTAGTTGCATATTCGAAGTAATTTTCTTTTCAACATTTGATCCATTAATATGATGTGCTTTATTAAACTGGCTAGGCAAATTCTTTTGGTTAAGAGCAATTAGATTCCTTTAAGCTTCTTTACTTAAGTAGACCGGAGGTGAGCCATATTAGTAATACAAATAGTCTATGGCCCTCCGAGCTTCAGTTTGAATACCCTTTTAAAATGGAATTGAGGTGCGCCGCGCCAAATAAAATTTCAAATGCGTGGCTCTCACTTAATCAATTCTTTTAAAATCCTTAGAATTCGAGGCGTGTCATATAGCAAATTTCCATGGCCCTCACAAAGTTAACAACGCGTAGTTGCTTTAGGCGCGTTATTTTAATAATATTACCTTCCTAAACTCGGGTGTGCATTTCATGTGACCCAAATCCAAATCCTTATAACGTTGAATCAAATGTGTTTCGGATTGCGGGTGCATTTCATGTTACGTGATCCAAAGACATATTTTAGACGACGTTAAATCTTCTTTAAAAATAAATAAAAAGCGGTTAAAAGTAAAAATACACATTGGTTAAAAAATATTTTAAAATCAGATAATAAGCCAATAATAACAGTTGAGCGACCGTGCTAGAATCACGAAACTCGGGAATGCCTAACACCTTCTCCCGGGTTAACAGAATTCCTTACCCGGATTTCCGGTTCGCGGACTGTAATACAGAGTCAATCCTTTCCTCGATTCGGGATTTAAACCGGTAACTTGGGACACCATAAATCTCCCAAGTGGCGACTTTGAATCTTTTTTAATGAAATAATCTCGTTTCGATTGTCACTTCAAGTTGGAAATAACTCCTTTATTATACCTTTCCGGGGGTGTAGTAAAAAAAGGAGGTGTGACAATAGGAAGAGAGGACTTCCCAAAAAGAGGTGTTCTCGGGCTCTCTCTCTCCCCCTCTCCCTCTTTCTAGGAAATATGCAAACACACCTCTCCAAAGAAATGAGAGGATCTGTGATCCGAGGACTTCATGAGATCCAAAAAGGGTCTTAAGGCTCTTGTATATGCTATCATTCGTCTTGATCAAAAGAAAGAGGATCCGTTCCACTCAAGATTTGGTGAATCTTTTCCATTGTCTACATTTTATTGCCATTTAATGTTACTCAATACATCTTTCTTTATGCTATTAAATCCGACTATAATCACGGCCAATATTTATACTCGGCTATATTTTTCTATTCACATTATCCATCTCGGATCTTGAGTTAATTATCTTTAACTAGGATTTACCCCTTCATCTTTGATTGATTTGTTCCAAAGGTTTCGATAACTTTTGAGTCAAACAAAATTACACTTTATTTGCACGTAATGGAGTCTATTTTATGTGTAGGTGAATGGAGGTGAAAGTAGAGCAAAAGGAATACTTAAACGTTGAAAGTGTGCTCGAGAACAGTGAAAAAAAGAGACCTGGTGAGGCCAGCCAAAGGCCAGCTTAACCAGGCGTTAGCCTGGCGACGCCAGGCCTGGAGCGTGCACATTCCGAATTTTGAAGACTTATTTCGTCTCCTAGTTTGACTAGGACTTGTCCTACACATTTAGGTCCTTTCCTACACATATAAATAGACCTAAAAACATCACTTTGGACATGTTTTAGACCTAGGGAGAGCACGGAGCCGCCGTGGAGACCGAGGATTCGACCTAAGGAGGCAATAACACACTAGGAGCAAGGCGGAGAATTCTTCTACGAGTTTTTCACTTCCTTCTTCCTATTTCCATCATTTTTCATGAATTCTAGTATTGTAGTTTTGCATACTATTATGAATAGCTAATTTATTATCTAGGGTTTTGATGGGACCTATTCGAGGATGATTTTCCTGTTACGTTAATATATATTTGCCGTAGTATTTTCTCTATTTGTTCAACTACGTTATTATTGTGGTTGGTTGAAGAGCTCTCAATCGACTGTGCCTATTTAGTGTGTATTACTCGGGAGAGAGTGCATATTTAGGTAGATGTTGAACAACATCACTCTTAACGTATATGAGGGATCAATATGGAGGGTTTAAAGGAGGGATTAGGAATAACGAAACCTTGGTTTGATCCGAGTGAGTCGTACTTAATGCCAGCTAGCGTAATTTGGGAGAATATGTCTAGTAAATTGTGGTAGTTATTTGGGAGAGAATTACAACATTCAGAGCGCTCATGATCGGTAGAGAAGACTTAGGCAAATTTATAGAAAACATAGCGGAAATGATTCCGACAATAAAGGAAATCATAACTCTAGACCTCCGTAATCTTGTCTCCAATCCTTATCATTGTTAATTAATAGTTTTACTGCTTTCTAGTATTTATTAGTTAATTAGACAAAAATAAACATTATAATCTTTATAATCAGAAAATTGTTTGGACTTGTGTTTCTTAGCGATATTGAACAACTGTAGCTACGCCTTAGTTCTCTGTGGGATTCGACTCCGGACGTGTAAATCGGATTATATTTGCAATGACCGCTTAGTCCTTTTATAAGGCATAGTTGGGCGTGATCAAATTTTGGCGCCGTTGTCGGGGAGCTAACGGTGTAGTTGTAGGTGTACATATTGATAGGTTGCAAGTTTGAACTTTTATTCAATTATTTTTTATTTATCGGTTTTTTTTTAGTTTTTGCTTTATTGTTGGTTTAAGAAACATGGCATCTTGGAATTATGAGAGTTTTGATGTTGGTAATTCTACTTTTGATCCTCCTTATGCATATTGTGAAGGAAACCACCCATTGCAAAATTGTCAAAATATAATCCCGAGAGCGAGTTACGTGACCAACTCAGTCTTATTTGTGGAATGTGTGTGATATGTGTGGTGGTCAAGATGGTCACTTTCATGATTGTGCCTATATTTCTTATCTTCCACCAACCCCTTATTATGATGGGTCTACTTTTTCTTGTGTGGATAGCAAGAGCAAAGAACCTAGGGAAGCTGACCTGAAGGAGATCAAAGATATGTTAAAGCTAAACGAGGATATGTTAAAGTGCCTTGCGGAACCAAATAGTAAATTACAACTGCAGATACAAAGGCAAGAGGAAACTATTCACAACTTGAAAGTTCAAGTGAGTCAACTGGTTGAAGATTTTAATTTTCAACAAGCCAATATTGTGAATAATATTCAAGAAGAGCGTGAATTAGATGCAGAAATTGAGGTACCCATAGAGGGGTCCATAGTAGAACACCAACAATCAATCAAACTAGAATATGAGGATGCCGATATTGTAGAAGAGATATTAGTGTCAACCAAGGATATTGAGGATACATATTTAGTTGACTCTAGTGTCATTGATACTAAGAATATTGACAATCCCAATGTTCATGTAGTTGAGCGCATTGGTCCACACTCCAAGCATTTTTCCACATTGTATTTGGATGATAATATGGAAATAGAGTCGTCCGGGCCACTTGAGGAGTCAAGGGATGAGGAACAAGGTGCCTACATTCTGGAATTTTTCTTGGCAGAAAATCAGGATTACACACCTCATGTAAAGGCCAAGAAGTACAACTTGCTACATTGGCTGCTTGGGCCAGTTAGA